CTTTAAACTTATCTACTCTTTTGAAGCTTAAAGCTAAGAAACGAGTTATATATATATAATTTAATACTCGATTCGTAGTATACTTATATTCTAGCTTTAGGTTTATTATAAACTTTATTAGTTAGGAAATAGCGAAAGTAATATTAGGTTAGGTAATAATTATTATATATAATAGTAAGCCGATCGCGTATTTATACTAATTAACGATCTTTAGCTTCGTTACTTTATTAAAGGGTAGGAGCTTCGTTTTACTTATTAAAGTTGCGAAGCGTAGATTTTAATTACGTAAGTTATAAATCTTCTTTAGGTATATTATTTAGGTTAATTAGATTAGGCTCTTCGTCCGATTTCGAATAACTTTTATCTTTAAAAACTATTGTAGTTCGCCTCCTTTTATAAGTTTATACTTTACTTTTAAAGTTTTCATAGCCTTTTTAGTAGCTCGTTCTTAGCTTTTCTAATATATAAGTACAATATTATCTACGTAGAAGAAGATTAATACTCTATTTCGCTGATAGTAATAGAGCTTATATAGTATAGGCTAGAATCTTAACGCTTATAACGTAGTTTTGAGCTTTATTTGCTATAAGAGAGGTATAATTCGAAGGCTATATAGTATTTTCTTAAGGAGTAGGACTTGTAAGTCCGCTCCTAGCTTCTTATAATTTAGCGGAGCTCGTATAAAGACTTCGTAGAGTAACTTCGCGTTTATAAATACGTTTATAGTATTAAATTATAATAGTTCGAGATCGAACTTTGTTATAATAGCTATTAAGGTTTAGAACAATTTACTTATAAGCGTTAAAGCGTACGTTTCTTCGGTAGTAGACTTCTATTATTAATTATTTTGTATAACGAGTTTTGCTTTATACTTTCGAAGGTATTTATATTTATTAGTTTTATAAATGTGAATTTATATATAGTTAAGTATTTGTAAGTTACAAATCTTTAAATCGTAGCTTAGAATCTTAATCTAAGAGCTTATTTGTTTATAACTTTGTAAATAGTCTTTCTTAGCTTAGAAGAACTTCTTTTCGAATCGATATCCTTTTAAGCTATAATATAAGGTAGGTATTAGTAGTAGGCTTTTTTAATAAAAGCTTACTTTTATAGATTCGAGGTTTATTTATTATATCTAAGCTTTATTCTTTAACTTCGATTTATTAGAACTTAGGCAACAACGTTTAGCCTTAGTTATAAGTTTCTATTAATTCTTCTTAATAGGTAATATTAGAGTCTTAGCGTAGAATATTTAGTTGATCGTATACGCTTCTCTTTTCGAAATTTGGGTTCGGTTTAGCCTTTGGCTTCCTAGTTTTATCGAAGAAGTTAGGAACGAAGATACTAAGGATTCTAATAGCGTAGGGAGGAGCTTAAAGCGAACCTTAGTATATTTTAGGTCTTTACTATACTAATCTTTCTTTTGCTTTTCGATCTTTATTAGCAAATTTTAAACTAAGTTATCGAGATATAAACTATTAATCTTAAACTCATTTTATCTATTTACTAGTATATCTATTTGATTTAGGGAATCTTTTTGAGCGATAATTATGTTTTAAAAACGTTGTTAAAGCTTCTCTAATATCTATTTACTAATTATTTCTTATATTCGAGCTTCGTTTAGGCTAAAAAAGTCTTATTTATTAAAGACGATATCTCTCGTAGCGTATACTTAGTTAGTTATAAGGTTTTAAATATAGAAGATATTAGTTAAGTTATATTTAACTAAGTATTTGATTTAGGCTTTAAAGATTAGCTTAGACTTAAGTTGTTATCGTTTCTTTTATACGTTCGTAGTTATTATAAAGGCTTTGTAGCCTATAACTTTTAAGTATATAATTCGAGGTTGGTTTTTAATAGACAAGTTTAAGATAGTCGAAAAGAAGCTTTCGTATAGTATCTTCTATTCTAGGCGGTACTTAGGGGTATAATTGAGTATATAGATAACTATTTTAACTATTTTAGGCTATAACTCGGTAGGAAGTCTACTCTAAATTATTAGTAATTATATTTTCTCTTTAACTACTCTTCTAATATATTCTCTAAAGCTATTCTATTACTAAGTATATAGTATATACTTTTCTACTTAAATACCCTTTCGATTTAGCTATACGTAGATCGAATAAGCCTTTCGAAGCTCGTTATTTGTTTTAATAACCTTAACTTTGATTTAATACTTTATTATTAATATTTAAGTAAAGTTTTAAAGTATTAAAAGTAAGCTATCTACTTTATAGTTTTAGAAATAATAATCCTACGTATAGTCTAATATCTTATCTAATATTATAGCGTACGAAGTAAATTTGTAAATTCCTTTTTAATAGTCGTAGAAGTTAAGTAAGATTTACTCTTCTAATTTTAAGCTTCGTTTCTTTACTTTGTAGTACTTTTATCGCTTTATTTTTACGATTTCGTAAATATCGTATTCGATTATTAAGGAGCCTATAATCTTAGCTTTATAAATATAATTGATTAGGTACTTTAGTACCTTAGGTTTTAAGTACCTTAGTCTATAGTACTAGACTACTATATTAATTTTTCTTAGCTTCTTCTTAATCTAAGAGTTGAACTATAGTTTCTTTGTTATAAACGTAGCTCCTTTTATAGAAACAAGTAAGTATTCTAATATATACTAATTGTAGTATTAAATTAACTTATAAAATAGTTGTTTATTATAATATTAGATTATATTTTACTTATTTCTTTAATCCTACTAATATCTTAATTACCTTAGCTATTTTAGAGATACTAAGTTAGTACCTATTTTTAGATAGAAGGCTACGTTGTTTAAAATAAAGAAACGAAGCTCGTTTATTATATTTCGTATTTTAATATTTATACTCTTATATCTATAAATAGGTAAGTAATTTGATTCTACGAATATATTTTCTTATAGAAGTACATATTTATAATTGTAGAATCTTAAGATCTCGTTGAAGATATAGAGTATTAACCTTAAGTCTAAGATTACCGAGTTACGTAATAGGTATTCGAAGTTCGATATAAGGAAAGAAGCTACGTATTAGGAAATTATCGATCGATTAATTTATTATTAATTCGTAGACTCTTCGCTTTTCTTAAGCTTTAAGTATAAGTTTCGAACCTTTTTACTACTCTTTAGCCTTTTTTCCTACTCCTAAGTCTACGTTTCGTTGATCTTTATCTATAGAAGCTTATTCTCTAAGAATATAACTTAATAACTAGTAGTATTTATTTAAAAGTAGTTTCGATCGTATAAGATATAAAAGTCTTCGCTACTTTGTATAAAGTCGGAAACTTCGTTTCTTAAACGTTTTTTAGATTATTATTAGCGATAGTTGTTCAAGGATTTCGTCTACTTATTATTATTCTATTTCGTAGCTTAGAATATTAGTCCGAAGCTCTTTTTCGCAACTCTCTTTACTCGAATCGGAAATTCGATTACTTTCGAAGTATTAACTATCTTTTAGCAAAAGTAGGCGACGAAATCTACTAAAAAGTAAGTCTCGTTAACGATAGCTATTTACTATTAACTTTACTTTACTTTTATAAAGATAAAGAAATATCTTTTTAAATATTAAATAAAGTTTGAAAACTAAGTTATAAGGTTTTAAACTTCGGCTACTTTTACGCTTATTATATACTATATTATCGTCTCTTATAATATTATCTAGTTTTCTTAGTCGATTTTAAGTTTTAAAGTCTAACTTAGTACATCGTTATAGCGTTTTTAGGCTCAATTATATAAGACGAACTCGTCGATACTATATACGCGTTTAAAGTTAAAGTAGAACTACGCGATATTTCTATTAGCTACGATATTATTTATATTGAGGCTATAAGTTATTTTAAAGTTTAATACTATTGTATCATTTATCTAATTAAGAATATTTTAAATAGCTTCGTATTCTTCTTTATACTAAGTTTCGTTGGAATAGTAGATTTGCTATTTAAACTTAAAAGCTTTATTATCCTTAGGTAGTAGGTTAGATAGGCTTTTCGTAGGTTCTTCTTTATAAACGAACTTCAACTTCGTATCTAAGACTTTCGCCTTATAGTTCGTAAACGTAGGCCTAATTAGCTTCGAAGTTCGTACTACTTCGAAGTCCTTTAGATTTTCGAAGTTAACGAAGTAATCGATATTTTCGGCGTTAACTTTAATTCTAAAGGCCTTATCGAATTCCTTCTAATCCTTCGAACTACTTAAGATAATTTTCGATATTTCGAATTAGAAATACTACTTTGAAGTAATATATTTTAAAGACGAAAGTCGTTTATTAGTTCTAATACTTATTTTAGTAGTTATAGCTATCTTCTTACGAATTATAGCTCTAAAATTCTTAATTATTAGACCTAAGTGTAACTTAATTGTATTATATCTTTAGGAATCTCTTTTCCGAAGACTCCTTTTGGAGAAACCTTAGTACGTTAGTCTAAATTAAGCTTAGTCCCAATTTTAAACCTTATTTATTAAGAACAAAGCTCTTTATATAGAAATAGAGCTTATTTGTATAATATATATATTTATATATATAACCTACTTTCTTCGCTTACTTTAGTAATATATACTAGTATCGGACCTATAGGTCTAATATATACCTTTACTTAGTAGTAAACTTCTATTATAAGTAAGTAAAAATCAAAGTTTTAGATATTATATTAGAATTCTTCTTATATACGGTTTTGATTAGTATTAAGTCGAAATATAGTTCGTATAGTAGAAGTTGTACAAGATAATTAAAAATAAATAATAATGTATATATATTATTTTTGCGTTATATATTAGTGTATATATTATATATATAAAGGAGGGTTCCTTTATTAGTAAGAAGGGCTAAGCTATAAACTTAGTACTATTATAGTTTTAAGAGTTTAAATCTCTTATCTCTTAAAAATATTCCCCATCGCTTTTTATATAATTAGAGTAAAGTATACTATACTTGTATTTATATATAAAAAATCCAAAGTAGCTTATAAAATAAGGGTAAGACTTAAATTATATAATATATATATATAATAATGTCTCTATAACTTAACGGTAGAGTATAATACTATTAATATTAAGATAAAAGTTCGATTCTTCTTAGGAGCGAAGGATAATTGTAGTTCTAATTATCTTATATTTTACGAGTGTATATAAATTTGCTAACTCTATCCAAAAGTTCTTAAACTGCTATTTAATTATACTTAGGAGACTCCTACCTTCCCCCTAAGTTAGATATAAAAAAAATAAAAATAGAATAAAAGTGTAATTATTATTTATTTTAATATAATAATATATATGAGTAATACTATTAGAAGTAATTTTTAAGATTATCCTTTTCATTTAGTATCCTTATCTCCTTAACCTTTATATATAAGTATCTCTTTATTAAATTTAATAAGTATTATAGCTTTATTTATATATAATTTTAATAATAGTTACTATTTATTATATTTGGCTTTAATACTTTGAGTATCAACTATATTATTTTGATTTAAAGATATAATATTTAAAGGTATTTTTTTAGGAGATTATACATTAATTGTACAAAAAGGATTAAATTTAGGTATTATTTTATTTATAGTATTTGAAGCCTTATTTTTTATAGCTATGTTTTGAGCATTTTTCTATAGTACTTTGACTCCTATAGTAGAATTAGGAGCTTAATAACCTCCTATCGGAATCGAACCTATTAATCTTTTCGAATTACCTCTTCTTAATTATTTAAAAAACTATGAAGGTACAATATATATAAATGTTAGTGTAGGATACCCGAGAGTAGATTAAATTACTAATATACTATATAATAAATATATAGGTTAAGTTTTCGATTATATTACTATAAGGAAAGATGTACCCTTACGTCTAAGTAGGAAAATTACACCTAAGGCTATTAAACTTATTAGTTTACTAAAATTAGATATACTTAAAGATTATTTAATTATTAAGAAATACTACTAATAGATATACCTAAAAATTGTATAAAGTAAAAAATAAAAATATTATATAATTCCTAAGACTTAATAATATAAGTTTTTGATTATTACTACTTAGTTTAATATTATTAGTCTTTTCTATTTATATAGAAAGTAGTACTAGTATAAGTTGAACTATTTATCCTCCTTTATTAGGTGTACAAAGTTATAGTAGACTTAGTATTAACTTAGCTATTTTTACTTTACATCTTTCAAAGGTTAGTAGTTTATTAAGTACAATTAATTTTATAACTACTATAGTTAATATAAGAACACCTAGGATTAGACTCTACAAGTTAGCTTTATTTGGATAAGCTATAGTTATAATAGCTATATTATTATTATTATCATTATCTATATTAGTCGGTAGTATAACTATAATATTAATAGATAGAAACTTTAATATATTATTCTTTAAAATAGTTGGTAGTAGTAATCCTATTTTATTCTAGTATCTTTTTTAATTCTTTGGTTACTTAGAGGTTTACATTTTAATTATACTAGGTTTTAGTATAATAAGTACAACTATCTTAGCTAATTCTAATAAATCTATATTTGGATACATAGGTATAGTCTACGCTATAATGTTTATTGGAGTATTAGGTTTTATAGTTTGAAGCTATTACATATATACTATTAGTTTAGACGTAGATATAAGAGCGTATTTCATAGCCGTTACATTAATAATTGCAATACCTATAGGAATTAAAATATTCTTCTAATTAGCTATATATTATAGAGGATCTATTAAATTAACTCCTTCTATGCTATTTGCTTTAAGTTTTGTATTTATATTTACAATTGAGGAATTATTAGGTATAGTTTTAGCGAATGTATCTTTTGATATTACATTCTACGATACTTATTATATTATAGCGTATTTTCATTATATTTTAAGTATAAGTGCAATATTTGCAATATTTAGCGGATAATATTTCTAAGTACCTAAAATATTAGGTTTAAATTATAATATAATATTATTAAAAGTACAATTCTAAGTACTATTTATAAGGGTTAATCTAATATTCTTCCTTCAACATTTCTTAGGTTTATAAGAAATACTTAGAAGAATAAGTAATTACTTTAACGCTTTTGTAGGTTGAAATTTAATAAGTAGTTTTGGTTTTATAATTAGTATAGTAGTTGCTTAATTATTTTTATATATTATATATATACAATTAGTTAAAGGTAAAGTTACTAATAGATATCCTTAACTAACTCTACAATTTTACATAGATACTTTATAAGCTATTTTAAATAGAAGTTATCCTAGTTTAGAATAAGCTTTATCTAGTCTACCTAAACCTTACGCTTTTGTTAGTCTTCCTTTATAATCAACTATTTATATTATATAGTAGGAAAGAGCTACAAATGTACCTTAGAGTAAGTATTCGTAGTAATATAAATAAACTAGACTTTCTTTTTTATTTATTACCTAATTTATATAAAAGTTCTACTAATTTAAGTTTAATTAGTAGCGTAGCTTTATTATTAAAAAAAACAAAAATAATCTTTAACTTTAAAAAAGTGGGTAAAAGTTTAGCTTTAATTATATTAGCTATAGTTATTAAATTTATATATCAATATTATTTAAGAGCTTAAGAAATATCTTTAGAAAAAATATTAGGAGGGTTAGATTATCGATTTTATTAAGGATGTTTTTTAAGTAGAATTCTTTTAAGTTTTTTCTAAGATAATTGAAATAATATATAAGGTTATTTTTATAAAAGTATTATTATAAGATTAGATTTAAAAGATAAAGATTTAAGGAATAAGGTATTAAAAAATAATCTAAAAAGTAAAGATAAATTAATAGATAGTAATGTTAGTAAAGTACTCGATAAAGAGAAAAGTATTAAATAAGTAATAAGTAAAAAAGTATTATCTTTAGGTTTAGCTAGAGAAATTTAAACTTTAAAAGAGGAACTACTTAATCGTATAGTTACATATTCTTAAGCTACATATAATATTACTAAAGATACTAAAGAATATAGTAATAATTTCTTAGCATTAGTAGAGGGATTTAAAAGATTTAATACTCTAGATCTTAGAAAATTAAATATAAATAATAAAAATGAAGTAGAAAAATTTTTTATTCCACTTTTTATAGAGTAAAGTAGTTACTATAGTAAGTACTAAAGTTCACTTACGTTATAAATAAGATCCTATACTATAAATTTACAACTTAAAAATAAAACTAAAGTAATAGATACTATTGCAAATATAGAAATAGTACGAGAGAAATATTTATCTACAATAAGTAATATAAGTATATATTAAGATATAACTATATAAGCTAAAGTATATTATATAGCTTTGAATAAATAAAGAAATTCAATGAATAAAGAGTTTAATAAAGCTAACGATATTATATTAAAAGATCTAAAAGTAAGTCCTTTTTATATTACTAATTATAACGATTATAAAAATCTAGTAAGAACCCTTAAAGATTATTCTAACGTAAAAAAAGAGTTTAATATTCAAAATAGTAATTTAAAAAAGAAATTAAGTAAAGTAATAAATAGAAGAAACTAGTGTTTATATTATAAATTTAGAATCGTTTTTATATTATAAAGCTAAAGTTGTAGGTAAATATCTAGGATAAAATCTATAGTATTATACTAATACTTTAAAGCTATTTAATTTAAAGTTATCCTAGTTTAGAATAAGCTTTACTTAGTCTATATAAACTTTACGTATTATTTAATTTTCCTTTACTATTAAAGATATATAAGGATTAAGGTATATAACCGTATACTTCGCATAAAAAAAAAGGGTACTAAGCTAAATATATTAATTAAGGCTAAGCGTATAAATTAATTTAATATATATAGCTAATTAAAGTACGGACTTTTTTAGTTTAGTATATAATAGGTAATTTATATTACTATATATTTAGGTTAAGCTAAAATTTAAACTAGTTTTAAGTATCGATTCTTATTAGCTTAAAAGTAGAGTATAATACTTCTAATATTGAGATTCTAGTTCGAATCTAGAATAAGATATATCTAACAAAAAATATACTAGTAATATTTGAGGTGTAGCTTTTGTTAGACTTAAGTGTAACTTAATTATATTGTATCCTTAGGAATCTCTTTTCCGGAAACTTCTTTTAAGGAAACCCTAATACGCTAGTTTAAATTAAGCTTAGTCCTAATTCTAAACCTCGTTTATTAAGAACGAAGCTTTTTATATAGAAATAGAGCTTATTTGTATAATATATATATTTATATATATAACTTACTCTCTTCGCTTACTTTAACAATGTATATTAGTATCGGACTTATAAGTCTAATATACCCTTTTAAATTAATCTTTATAAGTAGTTTAATATTTTTTTGTAATTCGTTCGTTGTTTCTAAAGGTTTTTGTAACTTTTCTCTTAAATCGATCGCTTTTGCCTTTCGTAGTTTTAATTCCGAAGCTATATTACGTAATTAGCCGTATTTAAAGGTAACCTTCGAAATATTTTCCTTTCTCTTTTTTTCTCTCTTTTATAATATTATCTTCGTAAGTAATCTACTTTATAAAGTATCGTCTAAATACTTTTTATTAGCTAACTTATATTATAAGTACCGTTAACTAAACTTCCTATTATATTAGGGTAAGTTAATAATTGAAAACGAAGCTTAGAGTTCAATTTTGAAGTGTTAACGATACTTTAGCGGCGAAGATAATAGTAGCGAAGATCGCTTTAGTTATAAATCTAGCTTTTGTAATAGCTCCTCCTTCCTACGTAATAAGTAAGTTTAATTAATAGAAACGAAGCTTAGAAGTTAGTTTTAAGGTGCTAATAATACTTTAGTAATAGTAGCTTAGGTAATAGCCCTTCTAAACGTTCTACTAAGAAGTGTAAGATAAATACGTCTAAGAAGACTAATCGTAAAGAGGAGAAGAAGCGCGAGGCCTTATATAAAGAAGTGGCTACCGAGGTAGCAAAATTAGTATAAGTTTCGAAGCTCGTTTTCTTATTTTATACTTCGTTTAACGATTTTGTAGTACGTTAGAGGAAAGAATACCTTTATATTTACTATATATAAAGTTAGCTTTTATCGGCTAATTAGATAACCGTTATTTCAAAGGCTTATAACTTAGTAGACGTTACGATCGCTATTCGCTTAGAAGCTTGTATAT